CAGTTGGCTCCGGATCATTGGCACAGCCTGGTGGCTGGCCTCGGGAACTGTCTGCTCCCCTGGTTCTTGCTCGTCTCCTCTGTGTGTGGACCCTGGGCCCTTCCTTGGCATTTCCTACTTCCCTCAGCTGTTGATTCTGCCACAACTGCTGGTTTTCTCATGAGTACATCATACGTAGCTCTCTTCCTCTTTTCCTTTTGGCTTGTTAACTTTTGATCAGCTATTTTAAGACTATTTCTCCCCGGCTTTCCCCTGACCCCCGCCTCCTTTTTCATTTCCCTTTTTTGTACCTCCTCGTTTCGCCTAAAAACTTGTGGTTGTAAAAGTTATCCTAAAATATCTGAACGCCTTTGGGGGAGTAGGCTTGCTCTGTGGGCTCCAGAGGCAGAGTGAAGAAACGGCAGGCTAGTAAGTAGATACTGACCAAGAGAGCAATTTCATCTCTGGTAGGTTCCAGCCGTCTGAGGCCTGCAAAGGTGCCACGGGAGCTGCTGAGTCAAGTAGAGGCTAGATCCCACTGCCCCTCGGTCACAGCGTCGTTTATGGAGGGCAGCTGAGTTATGGTAATCCCGTCTGAGTTTATCAACAAAGCCCTGAACAGACAGACCCTCTGAGGGGGTCCAGAGCAACAGCTCTTTCATCCCCCTGGTGGATCAGGCTGGGCATGAATACTAGCACTTTAATGGTCATGGGTATTTAGGAATGGTCCTGAGGCACCCCTCCCCCCGCAGCCCTCCACGCAGAGCTGTTGGACAACCATTGACCTGAAGCCGCGAGTTCCCTCATTTTCCTGCATGCAGAGCTTTCCTCCCGTAGCAGCCTCCGTGAGGTAAAGCTTTTCTCTTCAGTTAGCGTCTTTGTTTCTTTATTTTATAATTTAAATCCTCACTCTGGCAGTGCCTGCTCCCATTTTTTCCTTGCAGATGGATCATATTTTGGACCCATTACCACAGAGAAAACTGGAGGCTCTGCAGGTTATGGTTTGACCTTTTACATTTTTGGACAGTGTTTAAAAATCAAGAGTTCGATGTAATAAATCTGGATTTCTTCATTCTCCTGAAAAGCTGGATGATCTGGACTCCTGGGGTCTGCATTCCCAGCTGGCCCCCAGCAGGCAAGGCTGGCAGGGGGGCTGCCTTTCCAGAAGTGGGTAAAATAGGCTTTTGTGGGCTACCTTGGGAACCCACTCAATATTTTCAATACATTTCAATGGGAAAATGAATCCCTGCTTTTAAAGAGCAGAGTTTTAAAATATCAAAAATGCAAATTGGGGAATGCTTCTAGGGTCCTCACTAGAATGTGTGTGTTTTGAGGTGATGAGCTGTGTTGTAGACTTCTCCAAGGCTGTATGTTGGCTTAGCACCTAGTAGGTAGGCACTTAATAAGTGATTTCCTCCTGGGGTCACTGAGGTACCTGTTGTCTGCCCCCTCCCAGGCGGTGAGCAGAAACACAATGTCACTGTGGACCTGGGCCTGTCAGTTCCTCCTGAGACTGGATTGCTGCTTAATGTATCTAGAACACCCACTCTAGCCCTAGATACTTGAGTGGAGTTTGGGATCAGTCCCCTGCACGGCTCCCCTGCCTTGAGAGCAATGGTTCCTTTCCTGATTAAAGATCCCATCCCTGTAGAGCAGGCCCTGCTGAGGAAATAACAGGACACAGAGGCCTGCACTCAGCCTACTTTCCTGGCCGATACCCACTGGACTGGAGTTGGTGGCAGTTACGCAGCGCTTGCATTCCAAACGCTGGACAAGGCTGGGTAAAAGTTCACCTCATTCCCTTTAAAGAAAAAAGAATTCTTCATCTTGGGCATTGCAAAATTTTGACCCAGATCCGTCAGGGGCCATGGAGAGCTCACAATATTTGGAGAGTGGGTCTAGTTTCCGAGGCCTGTAGGTGCAGACAAGCCGAAGAGAGCCAGCGACCAGCTGGGTCTGAGTGGAAGCCCTATCTTTGCAAGCTGGCCCCGGCCCGGCCTCCGCAGGCCTCAGAGTGTGGCTGGAAGAAGCCAGCACCTTCTCCTCACTCAGAAGTTATCTTTACCCCCGAAATCAAACACCACACGCAGCACCCTGTAAAACTGCTTCCTTATAGGCTCGATCGTGCTTGCTAAGTAAACATCCTCTCGTGTTTTTGGAACTGAATTCATTTCTGCTTCCTGGTCATCCCATTCGAGTTTCTCTGTTCTTGGTGCCACGCAGAATCAGTAGAAGGAAGACCTAGAATTGGGCAGAGGCTCCTAAAATGACTGTTTCCGTCTTAGTAAAATTGTAAGAAGAGTGACGGGGTTGTGGCAAGAAAAATGAAAGACTTAGGTGAAAAGTGAAATGAAACAAAACCTTTCCAAATATAGTGCCGTCGTAATGCTTTGCCAGTCAGAGTTGGTCTCTGCCGAGCCCCTGAGATGGGGATCTTTCTTTGCATGGACTCAAGCTCAGCGACCACAGTCGGCCTCTCTCTGTAAATTCTGTGGCTGTGTGTGGCCCTCTGACCCGAACCTGCTCTTGCGCAGTCTCTCATGACTTATTTGCCTCTTCTCGCTCACTTCCACCCACCCGTGACATCTCCATCGCCATGGCAGTAAGCAGCCACGTCATTCACCAAGTTCATCGGGTGATGGGCCAACTCTGCTGAGCCCTATTTCCCTCTAGTTCTCTGTCCTGAAGCCAGGAGGCTCCCTGGCAGAGCTCAAAGCCCTTTGTTTATTTGATCCTGGGCTCTTGGATAAATCAGGAATGTCCTGACATGAACTTAGGCATGTTTTTCTTCCATGGAAAAGGAAACTACAGCAAATGGTATTTAAGTAGGCAGAGGACCATTCCGGGGGACTTGCTTTAGTGCCATCAAGGCCACATTCCTTTGGTCATCAGACCAGTAGGTGACTTCGTTATTGGCATGCTCTACCCTGGAGCCCAGAAGGTGTGAATTTGAAGCGCTTTCCCCCCTGCTGGGAGCTGGCACAGAGCTCTGGGCTTCTCTTAACACAGTGGAGTACCATGATTGTCTTCCAGGTGGTCTTCTTTCTGCTGGGTGAAACCTTGGCCCAGAGAAGGCTGCGAGAGAAGCAGAGTTTGGGATAAGGTGGCCGCCTGGCCTGCCGTTCTCAAGCCATCTTCCTGGAAGTTGCAAGGTTCTTGATATGATATACTTTATGAATCAGCTGCCCCAGGACCTGAATATGTCACTTCCACTCCGGTCTAGGCTCATATAGTGCAACTGGTTGTCAGAAACCTTTTCGGGTCTGCATTCTTTGGATGTAGTGGTGTGGGACCCAAGATCCCCTGGGTCTGAGTATACAGGGTCCAGTGAATTAGCATGGGAGCTATTCTGGAAACATTTCTGGGTCCAGGGACAGGAGAATATTGGGAGCTCGTGCTTTGCTCTTGGAGAGACCTGTCAGTATCCAAAAACAGCCTCAGGCAGTCTCCAGAGCATTTGGGGGCTACCCCTACCCCCACCCACTGTGAGAGTTTCCGGGTATGTGAATGCCCGTACGTTACCATCGCAGCGGCAGTGCGGGTGGGCTGGTGGATGCTTGTCTCACTCGGCTGCCCATCCCGGAGGGAGACCTCAGTCGTTGGCCACTCCAGGCCCAGGCTTGGTTGCCGCTCCCTTTTACTGCTTTTCATGTTGTCAGAGGATCTTCTTGGGAACAAATGACTCAGCAACCTGAATCTCTGGGACTGAGTGGCCTGAGTGCCTTTTGAGAAGTGATTGGACGTATCCACCTAGGCCCTAAAATCCTGAGCCCGGGAAGAACAGAGATCCAGACTGGCTTTCCTAGGGATTCTTCAGGCCGCAGTTCAATTTGGTTCACCCGGGTTCCTGCCCCTATAGAAGGATTTCACTCATGGGATAAACAGGCAATGTTTTAATTACACTTTTTGTCTTTAGGAGATTCCAGGGAGAAAAAGGTCCTGGTTGGTGGCCAAAAAAGCAGAAAACAACAAAAGTCAGCTATGGCTGTAAACCTGGACTTGTCTGTGGCAGAAAGAGTTAACAGGATGGTGGTCTCAGGGTGAGGACCATTTTTTTCCTATGGCTGGGAGAAGCTCACAGGCCTCAAGAAAAGCTGATGCAACCTTTAGTGTGGGACAGCCCTGTCTGCCTTATGGGCGCTGTCACTCAAAGAGTTAAGCCAGTCTTGTGGCTGGGAAGCCCTCAGGGAAGGCCTGAGCCTGCAGAGACCAGGCCTTTTATGCCCCAGAGCAATGAGGTGTGGGGTAAAAATTGGGCTGAAAAGTGTGGCCAGGGAGCCGAGTGTAGGCCCAACTTTTTTTTTGTCGTGTTTGACCAGCCTTGGCACTGCCCTCAGGCTCTCCAGGGGAAAAGCTGCAGTTCTGCTCTTGCAACACAAGGAGCAGACTGGAGAATTTAGATCTGCGTCACAGAGCTCAGAGAGAGAGAGAGAGGAGCGAGAGAGACAGGGAGAGGGAGAGAGAGAGAGCGCTCTGTCGATAGGTCTGCTAGCAAGAGCTGTGCTGCAGCAGAGAGAGAGAAATCAAGAAACAAGTCATAGCAACACCGGGCACCAGGTTTTGCCAGCTCACTTGCCAAGCGTACAGAAATCTGTCGGGGGCTGGAGGCCTCTGGGTAGCCTAGGCTAAGGAGATGACACGCAAGGTGGCACGGGCGGTTCCCGTGGGGAGGAGGTGGGGTGGTGGTGGAGTCAGTGGTGGCAGCAAGAGGTTGTGGGGCGATGGCGGAAGGTTTAACGGGACCAATTTCTGGAACATTCGGGACTGCGGCACCTTACAGCCGGACCAAGATTTGGGTCTGCGCAGGCGACGATGGGTGGTCCGATGGGCTTCAGGACTTGATGGCGTAACCCCCTTCTTCCCCCACGTATGTATTTGCTGGGATCAAGGGCGATGTCTCTGCGTATGTGGGCGCTCTGTCTTTCTCACCTTCTTTCTCGCTTTTTGCTATTTTTTTCTCTGAGGGAGGGCTTTTTTTTCCACTTTAATTTCTTTTCCCTTAGTGTCAGCTGCTCAAGCCTGACTGGGGGAGAGGAGAGAGGAGAAAGCTGTCCCTGGCGTCCCACCTGACCTCCCCGTCTTTACCCTTATTTGCTTTTATTGGACAGACAGACAGACTGGTTTTCCAGGTTAAGTGTCAGCATCTGTCTGTCCATATAGTTCTCAGGTGGAAGGTAGGGAGTAAGAAGGAGACATGCTGAGAGGAAGGCCAGGCACAGTTTCCCAGAGGCTACCTTATTGAAATGTTCAGCCCTGGGAACCTGGGGCTGGTGGGGAGCAGGTGGGCAGGATGGGGCATGGGCTCAAAGAAGTGGGGTAAAGCTGGAAGGTTTGTCACTGCGTAGTTGGGAAAAGTGGGGAATGGTGACGCAGTCACTGTTGCATCTTGTTAGAAGCTCTAGGGGGACAGGTAGTGAGGTTCCCGGGGTCTGTAGGGCAAGCTAAGAGGGCTTAAGGATGAGCTGAGAAGGGAAGCTAGCATTTAGAGATTAAATGTCATTCTTTTGGCGTTGGAAAGTTGTTTACCTTGCGCTCTCTGTGTCTCCATGTTGGCACCCTTCCAGTTCACATGTGATGGCCTTCCTTGTACTGCTGCATCATTAACTAAGTGACTGAGCTGGCCTTCCATTGGCCAGGGGAGGGCTCTCACTCCAGACACTTCCTCTGATTGGTGGGTGGGCCAATGGCAGGTGAAAACCTTTTTTTGATTGGCTTAGGGCAAGGTATCAAATCTGAATTTGCATTTCACTTGCTTAAAGGGGAGGGGGGGAGAAGCCCAGCAGCTTTCTAAAATCTGTTTAGGGGTGTGCGTGTGCTCCTGTGTTTGTGCCTGCTTTTGATTGACCAGTCGAAGCCTCTTCCTGTACCTTTTTTATTTCAGGCACTCTAAGGAAGAGGAGCTCAGAGTGCCCCAAACTTTTTCTGGAGGGGGAAGGGTTAGGGAGATGGGTGCGCAGAGGGTTGACCAAACTGGAAGAAAATATTTGTCCTTTAGCTTGGTTTCAGAAAAAGGAAAATTTCCAATCAGCCACACCTCTTTGTTGCGGCAAAATAATTCTTGGCTCCCCTGGAAACACAGGGGCAAGGTAGGGCAGGGCTGCTGCTGCTGCTGTTGCCACCACCCTGGGCTTCCTGCTGACTCTGGGCTACTCCCAGGGGACAAGAGATTTGCATTGACGTCCGGGGCTGTCCAGAGCTGAGCCCAGTATGAGAAGGACCTGCCTTCTGGAAGCTGCTGCTCCCTGGTGCTTGGAAAGGTGAGGATGGGGGCTGACCCCAGGGCATTGCTCAGCAGCTGCGCACTTGGTGGGATTTGGGGGAGAGCCACTGGGCCACGAGAGGTTTGGAAGTCCCGGGTTAGAAAGGATTGTCATTCTGGGGAGTGAGGCGAGCGAGAACAAAACTAGGACAGCAGGCTGGTTGCCTCTGGTGGGAGGTGGGGGACTTGGGAAAATACGGGGCCCGGCCTTCTCTCCGGTCCTTGTTGTGGGGCTCTCGTTTGTGAGGAGGGGGTGTCCAAGTCCTGCGCATGCCCGGTGGCCCCCGCCCGTGACTGCGCATCTGGGAGCGCAATGCGCCCTGGGTCTCCGGCCTAGGACAGCACCACCCTTCTTATTACATAACGGAGGGCACGGCTGTGCCGTCTTGGCCCGTCCTCGCAACCCTAGCTCCTGGTGACCCAGGCCCTCAGGCCTGGGGAGGGTCTGTTGGGGAAGCAATGAAAGTTTTCATTCCCTTGGAGGACTAGCTCTTGTCCAGTTAGTGGCAGGAGCTCGGTTTGAAGACAGAAATGGACTGCTAGCTCCCATCTTGGGGTATAGAACGCAGAACCTCCTCCTCAATGCCCTGTGTCACCTATGGCCCCCAGGACCTCTCGGGGGATGGGATGATGCCCTTCTTTCCTTCTTATGCTTCTTGGCTTTGAGAAGAAGTTTCTGAAGGGAAAGATGTGACAATTGTGAGAGTAAGGAAGGGTGTGTGTGTGTGGGGGGGGCCCAGTTAGGAGTGGTTGGGAGTTCACTCCCCTTGTCACTGGGTTCCCTTTTTCCTGGGTGGGTTGATAATATTGTTGGACTCCTTTTATCACAAGGCTGCCATTTTGTTGGCATTTCTGCTGGTCTCCGACATGGTGGCGTTGGTTTTTCTGGTCCTG